ATTGGAAACAATGGACCATTTAACTGGCCAGCTCGATCCCCAGATCTTACTTCTTTAGATTTTTTGTCTGGGAATACATGAAGGATAAAGTTTTAATATATTTGAATGATGCAACTAATTTTCCTTCATTTTCAGTATTTCAATATTAAATTTTACAAAAAGGATTTGAAGCTTTATATTCCCTACCACGTAGTAATGGCTACATTCATCAATTTATAGACTATAAACATTTGCCTGCTGGTTTCATCATTGAAGTTCAAAATGTCAGTGCGGTATATCTTTTGAAACACGCTACACTTACGGGTTACTGCAAATTCTGAAAACCAACGACGTCCGTCGCCCAGGAAGTCAAGACAAGACGAGACAAGAGAATGCCTTCTCTCTTCGAGAAAGGAATTTTCTCTCGACTAGTAAAGGCAAGGCGAGAGCAGGCATTTTTTTGTTTTATCTCAACAAGAGACTAATCATGTATCGTAAACAAGTATATACAATAAGGCTCGTCTAAAAGCAGCAATGATCAAGGAATCGGGTACTTGGTTGAATGCTTTACCTGTTGCATCTTTTGGAACACTATTAGACAATGAATTTCTCAGAATAGCAGTAAGACTTAGGATGGGTTTGTGTACCTCATACTTGTGTTTGCGGTAGTGTAGTTGATGAGAAAGGTACGCATGTTTTAAATTGCAGGAGTGCATGACGTACATCTCAACATCGCCAGGTGAACGAAATATTGAAACGAGCTATGGTGTCAGCGGATGTTTCTGTAATTCTGGAACCCTTAGGTACCAGTCGAAATGATGATGAACGACCAGATGGTATGTTTCCCATACCATGGAAATACAGTAAACCTTTGTTTAGGACTTCACTTTCGTTGCCACGGTTGCGGCTTCCCATCTAGCCGACAGTTCGAAGCCTGCTGGAACTGCAGCATTGTCTGGCGAAAAAGTGAAACCAAAAAAATACCAAAATCTTGGTAACAACTATCTGTTCCATCTAGTAGCGGTTGAAACTTTGGGTGTTTATGGTCCGGAGTCTGTGTTATTCGTTATGAATTCGAAAGGAGAATAGGCCAACCAACGAAAAATTACCGTTCCACTTCTTTTTGATGGAAGGAATTAGTATTTTGATGAGATCATGCATGGCCTCATTTCAGTATGGAGCTAAAATCTCTTCCAAACAAGCCGAGATATGTGTATATTCATTCATCAGTCTCCTATCAAGGTTAATTCGCAAGTGATTGACCTATCTTCTTCTTTTTCAGTGCGGTCAATAGACTTAGGTAATTTTTGTCCCCCAAATATGAGAGCTGCAGCCCTCGTGGTTATGGTTACTTTTCACTGGATGAGCTTAATGAAGCAAGAGCCAAATCGATCCCTCTACGAAACCCTTGGAAGGGAACATTTGGAAGGATCGATTGCAGCTCGAGAAATGATTCTGATACAGATTCTGTAAAACATGTTCTTCCTTACGAATCAGTAGAGAGTTGTCCTGAAAATCTTGAGAAGGAAATTGGATGATATAATTTAGGAAACACTTGCTGCATGAATAGTATTTCACAAGTGTTGTTCTTGATGAGGAATTTCAAGAACGAGGTTTTAACGATGAACGAGAATGTTTCCTACTCATTCACCAAACTCAAATAATTGTTCATACAGTTGCCGTTTCGAAAGAATGTATCATCTTTCCCACCAACCGATTTCCTGACGTATTTGAAGTCCACTAGATACTCGTTAGAGCAACAAGAGGATTGCTCCGAATTCTCGTGGTTCTTGTTGAATACTCTTCGAGAGAAAGAAATAACAGAATCGATACTCCTGACCGCTCTGGATTGAATGATTTCGTACAGTCTATCTCGTCTTGTGTTTGTAGATCTTTTGCTGAAAAAAGCCTCACTTGTTTACTTTGTAGTGAATTTTCAGGAGGTAGCAAAAACGAATGGGATTTTCTAGACCCTTAACTAGCGTTTCCTGATATGACAAACAAACAGTCCGTGCAAAGGTATATTGTCAAATCATCTGAAAATGGAACTTTTAACGGGTGATGATCAACTGTATTGCCAAACATGTACCAAACTAACTGACTATTATAAGAAAACAAGTATAGCTCAGGCACCAGTAAATTTAGTAACACTGATGATCTTCAAACATGACTCAACCTCTGACGAAAGTTCGAAATAAATGAAAACACTTCAATCTAGCAGACCACTATGATAATCTTCATGCAGCCATTGTTCACTGTGGTTCTGGCGTTGAATCTGGTCATTATTACGCCTTGGTCAAAGACGAAACGGACTGGTTAAGTTTGACGATAGTCGTGTCACTAAGTGTTCTGGCAAGATCTTGAATTTATTGAAGCCTCTGAAGACAGCCTACATTCTGTTTTATGAGAGAGAGGATATTGGCAGATCAAGATCTTCAGATGATGTGGTGCTGCAGACTGCAGCTGAAAAAGCAAATGCGCCACTGAAATCAATAAAGTCGCACTGGAGCGCCAATTAATTTTTGTTGATTCATAATTTCATGATTTGTGTGTATGACATATTTTTTATCGAATATAATGCAGTTAATCATGAAAAATGAAATAAACCTGAATCATTTTTTCAACGATAAGCATAATCGGCATCCTTTGGTCTTTATGATCACACACTGTATATATAAATTAGTAACAATTGTTTTTATAACCATTTTTTGAAACATTTCTCGGCCTCCTATCGTTTTCATCAGCTCATTCTAGTTATTTCAATTTGTATGAATCATTTTTGATTTTTATTGAAATTTCTCTCACAGATAATCAACATTTTCTCCAAAATCGGTATCCCATGCAAATCGCCGTCCTTGCGGTCAGTTCGGTTGCGAGTAAATCACGGCCTACTTCTTCTAGACACGGCGGTAATTATGAACACCTGAACGGAGCCGTAAATCATTGTGTTGCGGGGTTGATTGTATCGTCTCTCTTGTAGTTAGTTAGCTATTTCGAAGAGTTGAGGGAGTTTTTATGCGATGGTGTACAATGTAGCGTGGAAAGAGCGCCATTAGTTATATGCTTAATTATTAACGTATTTCTTCGATTTACACCAATGATATAATAGGCGAAGGCCGGTTCGACGTGTACTTTCTGACGGCAAAAAAGGTTAGAGAAGTGCACAGTTTATACTGATAGAGATTAGAGAAGACACGAATTGAATGCTCTTATCTCAGTCAATAGCACGAGGAAAACGAACGTATGTGAGCTAATGCTTCACAAAAACATTGCAGTATTCTCAACTAGTTGTAGTTTCGATTACATAAAATTACATAGTTGGTTAATTATGAAAGCGAGACAAATATACATTGGGGTCCGTATGTAAATGATAAGTTAATTTATAACGTAATATACAAAGTAGGTATGATAGTCTGGGTCACAAGATCCTTTTTTTGGAGCTTCTCTCCAAGGGCACCAAAAATTATGATGCAAGGCATCCAGTGGGATGCATCCAAAAAGGCATCCAAAAAGGACACATGGACTGTTTCTACTTGGTTAGTAGTGAGGTTCTTATTGGTCCACTAAGAACTTCTTCATTTATTCCTTGAATGTCTAATGTTTCCATAGCGCCTCATGTACAAGACCAGACGAAACAAGAGAATGCCTTTTTTCGACTAGAGAAACCATGTTCCTGTCTAGACAAGGGAGAAATTGTATCAGGACCAGTCGAGACAACGCGAGAGAGAAATATTTTCTTGTCTCGATAATGATGGAAGCATTTAAACTTGATCTGTTGAAATACTCTTTAGATTTTCAGTAACATCATTAGAAAAAGTCAAGCAAAGTCAAATCAAGAGAACGAGCAATTAAGTTAGTAAGTAAATAACCATGAGTTAGGAAAAACTTGACTGGGATAAGTTTTTTATTTCCAATACCAACGTTCTATTGATACCAAATATTTCCATACATTTTATCACCATTTTCATCAGCCACAAAGAGTATTCTTACCTCTTAAACTAGAACTTATTGATGATTCTGAGCAGTATTTGGCCGTGTTAAAACATAAGAAACCGGAATTTTTGCGTCGATGTGTAACAATGGATGAAACATGGATCCATCACTTCATTCCGGAGAAAGAATGATCGTCATCTAAGTGGAGAGCAACTGGTGAACCGCGTCCACAGAGCCCAAAAGCACAACAATCGGCTAGAAACGTTATGGCCTTCGTATTTTGGGATGTGCGTGGTGTAATATTCATCGACTACTTTGAGAAGGAAAATATCATAAACAGTGAATATTACACAGCGTTATAGGAGCGTTTGAAGACCGAAATTGCAGAAAAAGACTCCATTTGAAGAAAAAGAGAGTGGACAGTGTAACAAATCAATAAAAACGATGAAAAAATTGCATGAAATGGGCTTCAACATGCTCCCGCTTACACCATATTTGCCAGATTTGGCTCCCAACGACTACTGTCTGTTCGCGGACCTCAAAAAAATACTCATCAGCAAGAAATTTCACTTAAATGAACAGGTTATTGTTGAAACTGAGGCCTACTTTGTGGCAGCAGATAAATTATTCAAAAACTGAAGTGTTAGAGTGGCGCTGAAATGACGGTGTGGCTCTTGATGGAGATTTCGTTGATAAATAAAAATAATTTTATTTGGAATTATTTGCTTCATTTCTTTCTTTGGAAGATTTTCACATTTTTTCTGAATGAAAGCCAAAACCCCTTCTTTCCCAAAAATTTGTCCCTCCTGAAAATATATCCCTTTCGATTCAAATTCAATTTAATCTTTCCATTTTATCATCGTGGGTAACTTTTTTATACAACCAGTTTTGGAAAATTGCACCAAAGTAGGATATAGTACAACCATTGTACATAAGTAATTGGTTTTATGAAAAGTTTTGTATATTTCTTTCTTAGTGTGACTGGTAAGAGAATCAGAATATTTGAGGCGTGCGTTTCCATGACTAATTAGATCCATGTGTCACTAAAATTGAGAAAATGGCGACAATACCTTCTTTGACAGCTTTGACACATGCCTATATAATTGTTGTGGACCAAATCTGATTACTTTCAGTAATACTGTGATATTAAAAAAATAGTACGTTTCCAAAACTAGCTACATTCTTCATAAACACTGTTACAAAAGTGTGTGAATCCACTGCCGTAAATGCTCTTTCAAAGGTGCGTAGATCAAATAGTATTATGTTATTCATTGCATGCTACGGTTTCAGAACTTGTTAGATCCTGCTCGTATGTGCACGGTTTCTTTACTGTTTACGTACACATACGGTCATTTTATGAACGTGTTCTACCTACTATTCCAGATGATGATAATAATTCTGACGCAAATGTTGTTCCAGATGAGTTAAATATTACAGAAGATGAGGACTTGCAAATTTAAAATATTTAACATTTTGAACCTGTTTTTGCTTAAATGAGAGACTGTATTTTTGATTTGAAAGTTGAGTCGAATAAACACTATTTTTGCATCACATAAGTCTTTTTCAACTTCTTAACTATTCAGATAAATTTTCAAAGCTGTATAAATTCACAATATGTTTCTAAACTCGTTTAATCCTACTTTTCTTTTCAAATAACTTAGCAAAACATTCTCTAATAGTTATTTGCTGACCGTATATTAGTTTTAAAGGACAATCTACAAATAACAAATCAGTCACACAAACCTACTTGATTTCCAAATTGAAGGAATCAGAAAAGTTGAATTTTCTCGAAATCACTTCTGATGGATTTAAAAAGTTTTGGAAACGGGCGCCTCATTTGTTAACTTCATAAAATCTACAACCCATGAATAGATAGGTACATGAAAAATAAATCAAGTAGTATATTATCGCGGAATTTTGGTTCCTTGAAACTCTCTGTTTTACGTAGTTGCCTTCTCATTGAAAATGACGCACCACTGATATGACAGGTAATGTATTCAACCCGGTCGTGTTCATCTGGAAAATTGCCAAAATTTTAATATACGTCCAACCGTCCCGCCCATTTGAATATCTTGATAATGCAATCTGACAAACGATATCAACACGAAACCTGTTCAGCGACAAAAACTTCCACGAGAGCTGTTGATTGCATTCAACTGTTAATGAAATCGCCTTCCAGCTGAATGAAACGTGAAATATCAAAACAAAAGAATATCCAGTCGTCACGCAAGGAACACTGAGTTGTCCAAACGAGGCAACACTGATGATATTCAACGAGAAGAAATGTAATGTAGTTAATGATATATTTTTCTTCCACAACCCACTTAACGGAAAAAAAAGTTCAAGTTTCAATTTCGAGGCTGGGGCTATTTTCGGTTACAAAAAACGCTTTTAAAAGATGCTTTTCGTGCACAAAATTGGAAAGTGAGCTAAATGCTCATTTGATTACAGGCAAACAAATATTTGAAACATCTGCCAAGGCACTACGAATAAATTCAACCATCACAGAATATTTAAAAAAAAATTATTATTGTCGGATTCAATTGTGTAATAGATTAGATTTTTCTTTGTTCTCTTGTTTCGCTTGAGAAGAAATTCATTACAAAATAAAACAATTGATTTTTCCATTGTGTTAGGAATAATACGTTAAAAGGTAAGACCTCGTTAATCCTTAGCTAGCACAAGTTTCGACATCTGAGGGTTGTCGTTCGTAGGGGTGCGATAGCTGGTTAACGGAAAAACAAATTGAAGATTGAACAACACATGCCATTGGCTTGGTCAAGATTGAAAATGAGAAAAAATAGGATAATTAATGGATACATGACGAAAAACTCCGATAAATGAATTGATATTATTCAGAAACAATGTTTGGTAATAGTTTTTCTCAAACACAATATCAATTCTACTTCAAAAATGGAATTTCAAAAACTTCACCTCAACGATTTGATTTCCACAAACTTTATTTGAAAATAGTATATCACAACATGTTTCGCTAAGACATTAGCTTTTTCAAGTGATTTGTACATCAAATTATCCTTACATTAGTATTCATACTACAGGTAACCATAATTGGGACTACCTCTAAGAAATTACCTGTACCTCTGCATAACGTACCTGTTCAATTATGATTACCTGAAGCATATTGCCTCACATCTACATCAATAATATTTCTTTCTCAGTTTTCAACAAAACAAGTTCAATAATGGTGATCCATTCCAATCTAGTTGGTCATTCATGAGAATGTTTGAATTTTCAGGTTTATTAATTTTCATTGCTTCCAAATGATTCAGTTTCAAACCTTTATCTTCTATGTGCAAAATTTCGAACTCTTCATTGAAGATGTGATTTTCTTCTAGAAGATGATTTGAATATGACAAATTTGTTTTCTTATTTACATAGCTCGTATGATGTTCCTGTATTCGATTCCTAAATGTCCTGCCAATTTGACCAATATATACCTTAGGGCACGTTCCACACTTTAATTTATAATTTAATTTATATATTTATTTGGATACGGAATGGTTTGAAAACGTCGAATCATTTTTTCCTAGTCTGAAAGACCTTTCATGTTCAGTATACCGTTTTTGGAAATTTCGACCACATTGTCCCACATAAACACTATTACACTCCAGACACTTAAGCTTATAAACTCCAGATTTCTCCAACTTGTCCACCTTATCTTTGCCAGATGTCCTGGCATGTGCTTGTTTGGTATATTAACCTGTAAGTGTGAACTTCTGGATAGTATCTGCGTTGAAACCATTATTATGACCTATCTGTGTAATTATATCAATTTTCCTAGCTAGATTGTTAGCAGAGAAAGGCAACAAACATTGAATTGTAAGCTGTTAAATTATGACTGCTGGATGGAAAGCATCGCTTGGGATAGTAATGTCTGTATAGCTAGGTTTTCTGAAAACATTGTACTCAAATTCATTCTGATTGTGTGTAATGGTCAGGTCTAAGACATTTTTATCTGTTTCGCTATCTCTGTTTCGAGTGTGAACTGAATGTTGCTATTGAGATTATTCATGAACGTCCTTTTAGGACGAAACTGCAAAAACGTTAGTTACAAATAAAAGTGGTGAAAAAACATAGAAAGTTTAAATTATCTTTTCTCCATCCAGGAAAAGTGATATAGTATACGAAACTAAAAAATTAAAAATAAATATAGTTTAAAAAACACGCTTTTAAAGAACATCGAACTTTCAAATTGGAATTGAAAATGTTTATTTGAACAAGGTTTTGGTCTAATGTAAGCTAACGCAACACCCAACGTGGTAGTTGAAGTATGGGCTTGGCATAGCCAGTATCGATGCGATGTTGACCTAGATCCCTTCGGCCAAAGATTTTGCCCTTCATAAACATATCGTTCTCTTTCTCCACGAGTCGGTTGGCCTTGCATAGTTATTCTTCAGACAGATGGCTCCAGCTCTTCTTGAAAGAGTCTATGAGTTTCTTTGCGGTTTGTTGGACACGCTGTAGAGGGACTCTTTCTTCGATTCTGACGATTTTCACAATCGGTTCGTAGGTGCCTATTACTTTATCTTTTTCGAGTCACCCTGTTATTGTTATGGTTGATTATTTTCACTGGAATGGTCTGATTGTTACCATTCACGAGGGATCTGGCCACGATAATTCTTCGAGTTTAACCACCTTGGCGTAGCCATAGGACTGAGAGAGCACGTCGAGAAGAATTTGTAACTTAATATTGATTCTAGTAATATCATGAACTGTTCTGATTTTTTAAAATATTTTCAATAATATACTGATCAACTTCAAATATGTATGAAGAGATTGAAGGTGTAATTTTGACCTCCACAAATGAATTTCTGCAAAAATGTAGCTCATTAATACCAGATATACTTTCCGTATCGTATAACAGTTAGGCACAAGAGTTCCTAGAATTTGTTTTCCTAAAATTCGATTTAATTATTCATTCATCAAACGATGTTTTCATAACATTTTTGTAATACGATTTGTCTTTAGCCTTAGAAAAGGCCTCAGTTTCAAAGATTAGGTACCTTTTAATAGGCGCTAAATTTTTCACCAGCGAGCATTCCGTTGACATTCAAACAGGAAAAATCTCTGGAGGCCAGATCTGGAGAATACGGTGGATGCGGAAGCAATTCTGCTTAAAAAAAATCTGTTTAAAAAATCTGTGTGTCTGTTTAAAAATATGTTTTTCCGTTAACCAGCTGTCGCACCCCTTCGAACGACAACCCTCAGAAGTCGAAACTTGTGCGAGCTAAGGATTAACGAGGTCTTACCTTTTAACGTGTGATTCAAAACACATTTCATGCATTTTTGCCATCCTCTTCACTCGTATGTTGCAGAATGTATTGTCTTGATGAAGCATCACTTTCTCTTTCTCCAAATGAGGCCGTTTTTTTGGCGATTCCGTTTTTGAAACGCTTCAATATTATGTGATAGTCGCTGTCGATGGTTTTTTCCTCTTCAAGATTGTTGATGAATACTATACCCTGCGCATCTTGAAATACTGATACACTGATACCATAAACTTTCCAGCAGCATTTCGAAACATCACATTGTACGAAAATCACTTTTTCCCATTCAGTGTGTACTACAAACATTCGTTTGTGTAATTGAAACTGATAATATTCATAGGAAGGCTTCATAACGTGATTAATGAAAGAGATAAGAAAGGTCACTTACATGGAACTAACTCTATTATCAATGGTGTACTTCGAAGTATCGCGATAAGACACTTCCTAATCACCTCATCAAGTGTCATAGTATATTTCTTCCTCACCGGAAAAGACAAAATCCACTTTTGTCACGATGACAGTACATATACACATCCATACAGTCATAGGAAATTCATTTGAATTGAAAACTGATCTGTTCTAAAAATTCTCCTTCAATTGAAAACATTATTGTTCTTTCATGGGTCTAGAGAAAAATCGGCGATGGTATGTGCCTTTCTTTGAAGGACACTTTCCTATAAATATTTTTGTTTTAAAAAAGGTCATATTTGATGATACAATTGGGAATCTATTTAGACAGATACAATATTGATTTTTATTAAATTGAATTTGAAATAAACTGAATGGTAACAAGTTTTTGATCATTAATTTTAAATAAAATTCAGAAAATGAATTGATGGATGTAGCCGTTACTACGTGGTAGGAAATCATAATGGAGAGAAGAGAATTGAAACTTTGTATGTTTTTACCACTTTTATTTGTAACTAACGTTACTACAGTTTCGTCCTATAAGGACATTTTCAAATTTATACATTAAACTAACAATGGTTCGAATGAATGAATGAAAATCGTATATTTACGAATTATTTACAGTTTTTACAATTTTGTTTGTGTATGTGTTTGTGTAGGGCCCTGCTATAGGCTTATGCCTCTTCAGGGTGAGTGAGTTATGTGTGTGTTTTGTGTTTTATATTGGTGTTTGTGTTGTGTTGTTTTTCTGTTCCAGTTTTCTTAGTTGGTTTTTATGTTGATCCATGTGGTAGTCCGGGTTCATTGCGGTGGTCGGTGGTCCAGATGTTGTGACTTGGTACGGGTTTTTGGGCC